CCGCGCGCCCCCCGCCCCTCCCTCCGCTCCCCGCACAGCTCCCCGCCCCTCCCCACCCGGCTCCCTCAAGTCTCCACGAACGGAAATGGGAGTCACAGCGCCGGGGACCAGCGGAAACAAAACACAGAGGCGGCCGCGGGGGGGCCGCTCTGGGGGAGCAGGCCCCGGAACGAAGCCGGCCCGCGCGGGCCCGCGCTCCCCTCCTCTCCCGCGGCCGCACTCACCCGCTCCGGAACCAACCGGGTCGCCCCCGCCCGCGCTCCACAGCCGGCGGAGAACAGCGGCGGCGCGCGCTCCACGTGCGGCGTCTCTCCCGGCAAAACCTGCAGCTCCCGCGACTCCAAGTGTGAGGCCCCTGGGCCCTTCCCGCGGAATCGGCGCTGAGAAACTCCAACCCCCCTCCCGCCTCCCAGGCACCCCCGGGCTCGGGACTACAAGTCCCAGCAGGTGGCGCGAAACGAACGCCCCGAGGCAACGGAGGCTCACGAGGCACAAAGGAGCACAACGCCCCCGTCCGCTTTGTGTTACACTGGCACTTTTTCGGGACGTTCAGACACTTCAACCCAAGGAGCAGGACTGCTGGCTGATTCGGGGCGGGAAGGACTGAACTCAGGGAAAGGCCGGGCCAAGTGCGCATGCGTACATAGGAAGGTTTCCAGAAGGGAAAGAGGGAGCAGACCAAGTTAGGAGGAGGAAAGATGGCGGAAGAGCCGCTAGGGGACCCGGAAGCACTTACCCTCCACTTCCTCCCGTTTGCCTTCTGCCTCACCTAGAGCCGTCCGGTCGCAGACTGTCTCTGAGACGCTTCCTGTCCGGTGAGTGCCGACCGACTGAAACGGCGGCCCACAATGCACTGCGATAGCGTCTCGGCGGGAGGGGGCGGAGCCAAGGCCGGAAGTAGGACGGTGGCGGCGGAGGCTCTGGCAGCTCGGGACTGAGTACAAGGTGACTGGGAGGGTAGCTGGCCTGGCTGGGCCTCTTGGGACTCCGATGCTGAGTTTTTCTCCGGGGACTGGGCTGCCTATGGCCTTTGGCCTGCATGAGCGAGCAGCTCTTTTGGCCCGGGACCTTCACGGCCGGCCCGAGGTCACTGCAGACGCCGGAGCCTTTCGGCCTTGGAGTTTGCCAAGTGGGCTTCATGGATCGCCCGGATGATCATGCCGGCTCCGAGGCCAGGCCGGGGTGGTGCGGGCTGCAGGCCGCGGGGGGTTCCCGGCTGGGGCAGCCCAAGGTCATGCTCGCGGGCAGGTCTTCGGCCAGGCCTGCCCAAGCTGGGCTCGCGGGAGGTTGTTCTGAACTGTTTAGAGCAGATCATGGTGATACTCATCTTAAAGGTTTGCAGCCCTAGAAGTATAAGTGGTGCTGAAACTGTGTTAGGCGGCCGTGTTTTACACTCTTCCTGCACAGTCCGACACCTCAGCCACCCGAGGACAGGACGCTGCTGGGATGGGGGCGGGGGAGGGGGGGGCTGGTGCTTGAACCCGGGAGAGGCCAGAGTGCGCGTGCGAGCACCGCGAGGTTTCCCGGAGGGAAAAGGCGGTCCCGTCGGGCGGATTGCGAGTTGACTTTGAGAATAGGCTTTGAGGGGCCCTGGCCGGGCAGCTCGGTTGGTCAGCGTCCTCCCCACACACCAGGGTTGAAGGTCAAGGCACATGCAGGAGCCAACCAATGCATGCGCAAATAGGTGGAACAACAAAGGCGATGTTTCTCCCTCTCCCTTTATCCCTCTGCAATCAACAGATAAAAAGTATATATCTGTAAAGGATATGCTTTGAAGAGGCAGCGGAAGGACTGCCCTCTGGCTGGTCGGCATCTCTGTCAACAGGAGAGCCTTGCTCCTTCTGCACGTGCTGGCCCCTTTCCTGCTGCCCTCCCGTCTTTTTCTGACTGTGTCATGCCCTGCCGCGGCACCTCCTGGTACTCCTGTAGAAAACATCACGGTTGATATTTTACACCTGCTTGTGTAATAGCAAGTGCCTCCTGCGGGCCGGTGGACAGTCCACACTCACTGTGTATTTAAACACAGATGAGATTATGTGTTCCTTTCTTTAGACAAGATGAATTTGAGGGCCCTAAAGGACTTATGAAGGGACGTGAGCTGTTGAATGTACGGGGTTCAGGGAAAAACAAACTTAGAGACGTGATTTCGGAATCATCAGTACTCAGGAATCGAAGAAGAAAAAAATGGATTTTAGCCCTAACCGGTTTGGCTCAGTGGATAGAGCGTCGGCCTGCGGACTGAAGGGTCCCAGGTTTGATTCCGGTCAAGGGCATTTACCTTGGTGTGCAGGGGGCAGCTGATCGATGTTTCTCTCTCATCGATGTTTCTAACTATCCCTCTCCCTTCCTCTCTGTAAAAAAAAAAAATCAATAAAAAATATAATTAAAAAAATAGATTTTACTCATGTTGCAGTAGGAATAGCATGATTTTTGCAGTCAGAGCAAATTAACTGTGGGAATATGAGCAATTTAATAGCCTTCTTAGACATAGTTTTATTACCTGTAAAGCAGAGATAAGAACACCTTGTAATGTTTAACAGGAGTGCCCCAAGGGTGCAAGGAGAGAATATATATGGGACTACTTTTCGAAATACCTAGGGCTGAACAAACATTAGATAACCTTATTGCTGAGTGTTAAACATGAATAAGCTGCCAGAAAGGTGTGTGTGTGTGTGTGTGTATATTGCACAATTTTTATTTATTTTTTAATATATTTTATTGATTTTTTACAGAGAGAACGGGAGAGGGATAGTTAGAAACATCGATGAGAGAGAAACATCGATCAGCTGCCTCCTGCACACCCCCTACTGGGGATGTGCCCGCAACCAAGGTACATGCCCTTGACCGGAATCAAACCTGGGACCCTTCAGTCTGCAGGCCGACACTCTATCCACTGAGCCAAACCAGTTAGGGCGAATTGCACAATTTTTTAAATATGCTTGTGTCCAGTAAGAATCTACTGTGTAATCTTAGACCAGGTACTTGCCTCTGAACCTCGGTTTCTGTGTGTGTAAAATGGGATTCGAAATATGTAGCAGCTTAAGGTCATTTGTTTGCTTGAAGTCTTTTCCCAAGTATTTTTTGCTGATGGGATATAAGAATGGTATATGATGGATTCTTTAATTCCTTCATATAGTTTGCTTTCACCCTGGCAGGTGAAGGGTATTTTGTTGATTGTATAATTTATTTTGGTAATTTTTATGTGCTCTTCCAGGGCTTCTCAACCTTGACACTATTGACATTTCGGACCAGATAAGTCTTTGTTGTGGGAAGTCCATTATTGTTATGGGATGTTTGGCAGCATCCCTGGCCTTTACCCACTAGAAGCCAGTAACACTCACCCTTCTAGGGACAGCCAAAAATGTCTTTAGACATTGCCAAATATCTCCTAGAGTGTACCCCCACTCCTGTTCGAGAACTGTGCTACTCTACTGTCCTTTAGCTTAGTGCTTCTCTAACTCTCTGTGGTAAAAGGCTTTTTACCTCCCCCCAATGTTTGTGGATATTTTTGAAGAATACAATAAAAATGAATTACTAGAAAAATTATATGAAAGACAAAATGAAGACACACAAAATACAAACTCTAATATTTTATTAAGTTCAGCAGACATCCTTTCTATATAATAAAAGCCTAATATGCTAAGTGTCTGGTCGGTCGTTCAACCAAAGTATAATATGCTAATGAGATGCTAAGGCTGCTCACTATGATGTGCACTGACCACCAGGGGGCAGGCCCTCCGACTGGTAGATTACCTTGCTGCTGGGGTCCAGATGATTGTGACTGAGCAAGACAGATGGGACACACCCTGGTCCCTCCCTGGCCCTAATCGTGCACCAGGCCAAGGGACCCCACGGGTGCACGAATCCGTGCACCGGGCCTCTACTATGTTGATATACCAAATTGCTTAGAAGTTTCTAAATGCTTATTTCCAATTTTTGTATTGCTATAGACCAGTGACACAATCTGTATGCTGCCACTGGTCTACAGACCATACTTTGAGCAGTAGTAATATAACTTAATAGGGTCCAGTATCAGTATGATGATGATGATTATTATTAGTTAATTTGTGGGGGTGGAGGGATCATGTTAGCGTTAACATGTTAGGTTTTCACTTCATCTTTAAGGTTCAGAAACTGTACCAGGCTATATTGAGTTGTGACTCTTTTGTTATCATTCCAATAAGAGTTTGGTAAGCCCTTTACTAGACTCAGTCTTTTTTAATTTAAGGGAAGTTTTTTCTACTTATTTATGGTCGCCTTATCTATTCCTTCTGGAATTCCTGTTTGCATATATTTGTTGTAATTTGGATTTTTTGCATTTGGTCTTTCAAGACACTAAATGAGATCTCAACTGAGATCAATTTATCTCTTGAAATTTTTAGTTAGAAAAGCATGTCCTTTAGCTCTAAGGATTTGGAAATCCTTATTTTTAAAAATCAGAATTTCATCTCCTTTACATATTCGAAGTCACTGATTAGGTTGTACCACATGATTTCCCCTCTTTTGTTGGTGTGTTTCCTTGGCCTGGTTGCTATTTCCCCCTGCTGGTTGTGTTGGACTTAGATTTGTAGTTGTAACAGGACTTAGATTTGCAGTTGTAACAGGCAGGCTCCCTCTGTGCGTCTTCCAAGTAGAAACTTCCAGGCTCTCAGCATCCTCGCACATTCTTTTGGAGGTCAGGATTGTTCTTTTCCTCTGGGGGTGGGTAGCTTTCCAACATCCTAGTTTGACTATTTTCCCTGATCCAAGACTAAGTTCATGGAGAGGAAACACCCCATCCCATATTCTGTGCTTTCTTTCTGCATGTAACCCTAGTGGGGCCACACAGAGGCCTGAGTTCCTGACTGCTCCTGGGACCCAGGTCTTCGGGTTAACAAGTAAAAACTTGCAGTGGGCAGTGGAGAGGGGAATGGAGTTGGGATCGGGTGACTGTTCTCAGCATTCACTGATTTCTGGTATGCTTTAAGTCCTGTACAATTAAGAGAATTAGAGGTATTTTACAATTAAATGTATATTAAAATATATTAACATTGTGTTACCTTTTTTCCCCCCCAGTAACAGTCACCATGATTCTTCAGAGGCTTTTCAGGTTCTCTTCTGTCATCAGATCTGCAGTCTCAGTCCATTTGAGGAGGAATATTGGAGTTACAGCAGTGGCATTTAATAAGGAACTTGATCCTTTACAGAAACTCTTCGTGGACAAGATTAGAGAATACAAAACTAAGCGACAGTAAGTGGGTGAATAATCGACCATTGTGTAAATATAAGTATTTAAAGTATGTAAGTTTTGAGGTGGTAATAAAATTACTTGGTGTTTGAAAGTGTCTAAGACCTTTACTGAGCTGATCCCTTGCATAGAGGTTCATTATCTCTTGATTATTTTAAGTCCAGGAAGAGTTCCATTAAATCTTTTGTTATTTTGGATATAACCTTATATCTAAAGGATATATCATCATTCTACCTTAAACAAAAAAAAGTGAAGCCCTAACCGGTTTTAGATAGAGCGTCAGCCTACGGACTGAAGGGTTCCAGGTTCGATTCCAGTCAAGGGCATGTACCTTGGTTGTGGGCACATCCCCAATAGGAGGTGTGCAGGAGGCAGCCGATCGATGTTTCTCTCTCATCGATTTTTCTAACTTATCCCTCTCCCTTCCTCCCTATAAAAAATCAATAAAATTTATTTTTTTTAAAAAGTGAAGACTTTACTCACATAATTTTGTTTATAGCTTGAAAGAGTTCTCAAACCCATACAAGGCCATTAATAGACATACCCAGGGTCTGCCTCAGGTTACAAACAATTGGTGTGAAGATTGGACAGATAAATGGAGGTGGGAAGAGGATATCTTTTAGGAGGAAAGAATAGTGTAAGCACATTTGGGAAGTTGTATAATGCTATTTCCCAAGACTATAGAATATATAAAGAATGTAGAGAGCAGTAAAGGATAGAATTGGGTTAGAATGAGGAATTATGGAAAGCCTTGATTATAGACTGGACAATTACAATATTATATGAAAGCATATCCTATCTAATAATAGAGAAACATGGTAATTAACCGTAACTTCGCTACCCTTCCCATTGGCTAATCAGCAGGATATGCAAATTAACTGCCAACCAAGATGGTGGCTGGCAGCCAGGCAGCTGAAGCGAGCAGGAGGCTTGCTTGCTCCAGTGATGGAGGAAGCTAAGGTTCCCCACCTGCTGTGCTCAGCTCTGAGCTCCAAGCTCCAGATGCAACAATGTTGCAATTATAGAAGCTAAACAAACTCCAGATACCTGCTTTCAGCCCGCAGCGGGCTCAGAGCTTAGAGCGCCAGTGATGGTAACAGAGTTTCAATTATAGAAGCTAAACAAACTCAGATACCTGCTTTCAGCCAGCCTCGGCCTCAGAGCTGGAGCCGGCTCTCAGCTCCAGTAACAGCTATAGAAGGTAAATAAATCCCAGGAAAAAAAAAGAGGCTGGGAGCTTCAGTCACCTGCCAGCCTGAAAACAGCCCTCAGCCCGTCATCAAGGCTGGCCAGGCACCCCAGTGGGGACCCCCACCCTGAAGGGGTGTGACCAGCTGCAAACAGCCATCAGCCCGTCATCCAGGCTGGCCAGGCACCCAAGCAGGACCCCCACCCTGATCCGGATCACCCTTCAGGGCAAACCAGCCGGCCCCCACCCGTGCACCAGGCCTCTATACTATATAGTAAAAGGGTAATATGCAAACTGACCCTAACAGCAGAAAGACTGAGAATGACTGGTCACTATGACACACACTGACCACCAGGGGACAGACACTCAATGCAGGAGCTGCCCTCTGGTGGTCAGTCGCTCTCACAGCGGGGAGCTCTGCTCAGCCACAAGCCAGGCTGATGGCTGCCAGTACAGCGGTGGTGGTGGGAGCCTCTCCTTCCTCCTCAGCAGCGCTAAGGATGTCCGACTGCAGCTTAGGTCTGCTCCCCGCTGGCAAGTGGGCATCCCCTGAGGGCTGCCGGGCTGCCAGAGGGATGTCTGATTGCCAGCTTAGGCCCAATCCCCCGGGGAGCAGGCCTAAGCCAGCAAGTGGTCACCCCCGAGGGGTCCCAGACTGCGAGAGGGCACAGGCCGGGCTGAGGGACCCGCTACCCCTGAGTGCACAAATTTTGTGCACCGGGCCTCTAGTATGAGAAATATTTTTGAGTAGGATGGTGAGGTAGAACAATATTGCTATGTATTAGGATGACAATTTTGATCACAGTGTACTAGGAAATTTGGTATGAAAAAAGAGGAGGTAGATGACTTAGGAAGAGGGAGCTTTTTAAGCTTAAGCACATATGGTAAATCAGATGTGAATGCATTCAAGTTTTAATAGCTATCACCTATCAGTAACTAGTACATTGATGAGACTGACTGGATCTTTTCAAAGCAGTTTCTAAAGCTTGTGGATCCCAGAGCTGGAAGACAGACATAAAGAATCTGGTTGAAAGCTCTTTCAAGAACTGTAGTTTGGCCCAGTCAGTGTGGTTCAGTGGTTGACCTATGAACCAGGAAGTCTCTGTTCGATTTCTAGTCAGGGCACATGCTGGGGTTGCAGGCTTGATCCCCATTGTGAGGTGTGCAGGAGGCAGCCAACCAATGATTCTCATCACTGATGTTTCTATCTCTCCCTCTTCCTTCCTCTCTGAAATCAATAAAAATATAGTTAAAAATAAAAAAAGAACTGCATGTGTATGTACTTCAGTAGCTGTTGTTCACATGTGACTATTCAAATTCTAGTTAATTACAATTAAGTTTAAGTAAAAATTCAGTTTCTCAGTCACTTTAACCACATTTCTAGTGCTCAATAGGCAGATGTGGCTACCATATTAGACAGCACAGATATAGAGCATGTCTGTCATCACAGAAAATTTTATTGCACATGCTGATCTAAAAAAAATTGGGTCCATAACAAGAAATATCATTAATAAGTTCTTAAATTAGAGCTGTCTCTATAGTTTGTGAAAATTCTGTAACATAAATATTACCCTGTGCCTATATCATAGATATGTGTGAAAATATTATTACCCTAGATGGAATTTTCACTTGTAAATATTTTGTTTATTGTGCATTGATAGATAGGCATTATAACAAGCCAAAGAATTTGTGCAAAGGATTAAGTAAATCTAATTGGTCTGGTTGCTATATTTATTTCCCAAAGCAACTCTGGTATGTCATTTTATTGCTTTGCAAATAAAATACAAACTCCCAGGCTTAACATTTCAGGCTTCCTACGATCTGGATCCTGCTGGCTTTTTCATCTAAACTGCTTAATATTCCCTCAAAGCCAATGCTATACCTCCTCCATATCTCTGCTTTTTCGGTCTTAGGATGTCTCAAATTCTGACCCAGTTTTTTTTTTAATCTGATGCAAATGCATGATTTGTCACAAATGCCAATTTTTTTTAAAATCCTCACACAAGGATATATTTTTATTTGAGAGAGAGAGAGAGAGAGAGAGAGAGAGAGTGTGGGAGAGAAACTGATCCGTTGCCTCCTGTAAGTGCCCCAACTGGGGATGGAGCCCTCAACCTAGGTATGTGCCTAGTTTGGAATCAAACCAGGTGCTCTGGACGACGCCCCAACCAACTGAACCACTCAGCCAGGGCACACAAATGCCATTTTTTTTAATGAAGTTTTTTTCTGATTAGCTCAGCAAAAGTGCCCTCTCAACTGAGTAGCTTTTTGTTAAACCATGTCTTTGAAGCGTATCATATGACTCCCTTATGGCATAAATGTTTATAAACATATTATTTTTTTCTTCTAAATGGCAAAACCTCTGAGAATAGGGAATAATTTTGGTTTTGTAACCAGCACCTAAACTGGTTTTTACTTGCTCATTTGCACACAGGTCATCTGGAGGACCTGTGGATGCTGGCCCAGAGTATCAGCAAGACATGGAGAAGGAGCTTTTTAAGCTTAAGCAGATGTATGGTAAAGCAGACATGAATACGTTCCCAGACTTCAAATTTGAAGGTAAATCTCTAATCAGATTCATCCTTGTGGGAGATCACTTTAAGTGGAAAATATGTATACCTATTTATGTTTACTTCTTTAGAGGATAAATGTCAGTTACATGTAGATTTATTAGGGCAGTGATGTGTGCATGGGAAGCTCTGGGATAAACATTTGCCATTGGTATCGGTCACAGGGGTGGGGAACCTTTTTTCTGCCAAAGGCCACTTGGATATTTATAACATCATTCTCGGGCCATACAAAATTATCAACTTACAAATTAGCCTGCTATATTTGGTCAAACACTTATTTAACTCACCCCTAATGCCTTGGCAGGCCAGACCAAATGATTTCAAGGGCCTTATACAGCCTGTAGGCTGGACGTTCCCCACCCCTCGTATAGGAGATCACAACATAGAGTTTAAAATAATGGGGATCTATATAAGGATCAACATAATTTGATGAACAAGAATAGATCCAGAGACAAATGGTAGGGGAGGGGGGTTAGAGAGCAACCAAAGGACTTGTATGCATGCATATTAACATAACCAATGGTCACAGACACTGGGGCAGTGGGGGCCTGCCCGGGGTGGAAATGGGTGGCGGGGGGTGGGGGGGTATCAATTGGGGAAAAAGGAGACATATGTAAAACTTTAGACAATAAAATATATACATATATGTGTGTGTGTGTGTATATGGAAATAAAAAAATAATGGGGATCTGAAATCAAACTCCCAGACCTTGAATCCTCTGACAATATCACTTATGAACTGTGTAGTCTTAGATAGTTAACTCATACCTGTTTCCCTTCTGACATTTGGAGAGAATTATATCTTCCTCATGTGGTGGTTTTAGTTAAATGATATATGTAGAGTCAATTAATAGCCTGGCTCATGATAGTGCAATTGTTATATTTCCATGTAGATGTTTAGAAACAGTAGATATTTACTAAAAAAACAAATCAGAAGATTGATGAGTTAAATACTGAAGCCTTCTCAATAAGGCATTTTATTGCACTAGGCTAAGCTTTAACCTTTTTTTCCTCCTCTTAGATCCCAAATTTGAAGTCGTGGAAAAACCCCAGTCCTGAAGAAATATAAAATATATCTGGTCATGTGTCTTAGATCAGTTGTATTACTGATCAGAAGTATCAGAAGAAACATACATTTCAACAACTGTCAAATGTTCTTTCATTCTGATTCCAAATAAATTATGTGGTGATTTTGAGTGTATGCTTGAGTGTATTGAATTCTGTGTTTTAGCATTACTTTTCAATCGTCCCGTCTGGTTATAAGGAAGCATGTGGAGAACTTGGATAAATTGGGTACAGCTTGCCCATAACCTGCCAGACTCTTCTCATGTGCTGGGTATCCTTTTCAATCTGGAGACCTACAGCCCGAGGAAGCCACCCGACCCCAGAAATGTTTGCTGCAGAGGGATGCTCCACCACGACTTGAAGAAACAGTTTCTAAATCCTTTATCATGGCTCTTTCAAGAAACTCAGGTATAATTTTGATTATGTGCGGGAATATCCATTGTGTTTTAACTTCTATCTTCTCAAATATTAACTGCTTTTATCCCAGTAACCCAGGTCCCTCCTCTTCCCTTACAGCTTATGGTCACAGTCTATTACAGATAGAGGAGGGAGAGCTGGGGGCCAGTGGAGAGGGTTCTACAAAGGACATTCCCTTTAAAGATCAAGCTGTATGGTGGTGTTTTGCCCAAGTGATGGGGAATCCAGCAGATATGTGCTGGATAAGTGACATAGCAGGCACGTCAGAATTTCAGTAACTACAGATAGCTCTCACACTGTAAAAAAGAAAGAAAAACAGCTGTGCCTTTTTATATCTGACATCTCTGACTTGTGTCAATAAATACAGTCTTCCGTGATCCCACTTCTGGAAATATATCCTAAGAGACCTGAAACACCAATCAGTATGCACCTCTGTGTTCATAGGGGTGCGATTTACAATAGCTAAGATCTGGAAACAACCCAAGTGCCCATCAGTAGATGAGTGGATAAGAAGCTTTGGTACATTTACACCATGGAATACTATGCAGCAGTAAAAAAAAGAAAAAGAGAGAGGGAGAGATCTTACCCTTTCAGATAGCGAGATAGCATGGAGGGCCCTGGAGAGTATTATCCTAAGCCAGTGATAAAAAATTCAAGGAAAATTCCAGGACGAGCAGAATAGGGAAACTCAGATAGATAGTTAAACTGCAGTATGCAGCTACCTAGTAAGTCCTTAAGCCAAGGACGCTTAAGAGTAAACAGTTTGCATTTCTCCCCAACTAGAGGGTAAATAGCTTAAATCACCCTACTCAGGAAGACAGATAATAGAAATCCAATTAGTGCCATTTGCCAACCACACCCAAGGACAAATTAAGAGAATAAATCTCATTTTGGTACATCTGCAAAGGTTGATGAATACTCTATTGATCCTCCCCGAAGACCTACCCTAAATGCTCAGCCTTTAAATCCCCTGAAAATGAAAGTCCCAGCATGCTCTCTCTCCAGGGAGCACACCCATGTCATTCCCTTTCCCTCTCCTTCCCCCACAGGCACATACCTCCTAAACTCCAAGGGGCCCCAGGAGACTTGCAACCAGGGGAGCAATGGGTAGCGGCAGCTCATCCTGGGCTCATCCCCTGAACCCGTCTCCAAGGCCCCCTTTTCTCTGGCTCCTTAGTGAACCAAAGCAGTCCAGCCTAGGCTCTCCCGTTGCTTCTTCTATGCCAGTGATGGCGAACCTATGACACGCGTGTCAGAGGTGACACGCAAACTCATTTTTTTGGTTGATTTTTCTTTGTTAAATGGCATTTAAATATATAAAATAAATATCGAAAATATAAATCTTTGTTTTACTATGGTTGCAAAGATCAAAAAATTTCTATATGTGACACGGCACCAGAGTTAAGTTAGGGTTTTTCAAAATGCTGACACGCCGAGCTCAAAAGGTTCGCCATCACTGTTCTATGCCCTTCCTTGTTTCAGTGTCCTACGTGTGCTTTTGCTGCAGTCAATAACTTCTTGCTTGCTTTTCTACACTGTCTCTTGATTGAAATCTTTCCTTCAAGAAGACAAGAATCGAGGTCTTGTCATCTTACCAGGAACAGGTCACCAGGGCCAAGAGCCCCAGCCATGGGAAAAACTACAAGCCCTTCCCTTAAGTATTAACCCCTGGAGATGACATCTAGGCTTCAGCTGTGTTTCAGCTCCAGGCCCAAAAGAGCAGCAAAACCAGACTGAGGGATGCCATGGCTGATATCAGGACCAGCCACATTGACTAATGACTCCCTGCTCTGACTCTGGACCCTGAAAGGACACACCTGGAAAGCTGATGAATATTCTATTGAGATCCTCCGGAGACCTCAGATAAAAGCCCTCAGGATGTTGCAGAAGACCAAAGAAATACCAAGCATGCTTCCTAGAGAAAGGGAGGGACCCCGTTTATTAACACTAGTGGACTCCGGGAATGATTTCCAAATCAGAGTGAAGTAATATGCAGAGGGCTTCACTTTTTATAACCTTCTGGGGTCTTTGTCTTGCAGATATGGTTCCACCCCCTTTTGTGGGCTACAGGAAGGCCCCCAGGTGTTGGGGGCCCCCAGGCCATATCCGATGATCTTGCTGGGGCCAGTGATAATGACCTCCCCCTGCCTCAGGGCAGGGCATTGTTCATAGTTTTTATGGCCTGACAAGCCTTGCAATACCAGTTTCCTCCTCAATGATGGAGGACCCAGTGCTACTTTATGGAGCAAGGCGGGGCCTTTCCCAACCTCCTTCCCCCAGGTGCCTCCTAAGCTCCAAGGACCCTTCTTTTGCTGTACCTTGTTTCCTGAGCCCATTTCTTCTACAGCTCACTTCTACCTCTGTGACTGTCTAAATAAACTCTCTTATAGTTTGTCTTGGATCTGAATTCTTTCTAAGCCAGAACTTAAGTACCGAGGTTGCTGAACCAAGGTCTAACACCTGGTGCCGTTTTGCCACCAATAAAATGTCCTTAGTTCCGTTTGATGCGTGCATAAGGCAACCAAAGAGGAGTAGTGGAACAGATGGATAGTGACAATATGCCAAGATGTGTATGTGTGGGGGTGGGCCTTGAATTTCAAGCTAAGGAGTTTAGACTTTAGAACTCAGACTATGTAAAGAACAAGAGTGAAAGGTTTTTAGCAAGGGGAGGGAGAAGGGAGTTGACATTGTTTAGCAGAGTAATTGGGCAGTAACTGACAGGGTGGGGGAAGGGAGAGACTAGAGGGCAAAGGAGCCTTTAGAATAGCAGAGATTGAAATTATGATTAAAAAAGAGGGTATTTGAAGGAAGAAGTTCCTAGAAGACAAAAGATGAGATATTAACAAAAGCCTGAGATAAAAGGATTAAAGTTGTGACAATTATCAAATGAGTCAATGAATGGCGGAGTTTGAATAAATGAGAGGTTAAAAACTGGAGATTGAGAAAAAGGGTAGTAGTGATGGTGATAGAATTTAAATGTATTCATCATGGTTGGCTTCAATAGTTTAGGAAAGATGAGAGAGTTGGGCATCTGTGGTGAGAGTTAAGTGGACGAGAATGAATGGTCCACCAAGGCATTTGGACTGGATAGCAGAGAAAGGTGAGACAGAAAAATGGTTTAGGCTGTGAGACTAGGGAGGGGTGGAGGGGCCAGAGATTCCTGAGGATGGAGGGGAAGTAAGGTATAAGAGAAGAACTTGAAAATTGAATAGAAAGAATGTTGGGGGCAGAGAAAAGACAGCACGTAGCCCCCGATTCCTTCCTTAGCTCTATGAAGTTGGCAGTCACTGACCCTCATCTGTAAGACAGGACATCGTCCACTTTATAATATGGAGATGAATGAGGTTTTATATACTCTCTCTTCCATCCCCCACCTCTGACATATATGAAATGTTCAATACATAGTTGTGGCTTTTTATTTTCAGAGCTTTTTTCCCTTTTCAGTGTTTGAGAGGTTGGCGGGCATCCACACTGTGAGATGATGAGATTCTAATCTCAGGCAGCTAAAGAGCTAGCCTTGTAGCTGCAGATGATAAGGGGGTGTAGTTTCCTGGGTTTCACTGAACAATAGGTGGATGACTTACCCTGCACGGTTAAATGGGCTAAAAAGTTGATCAAGTTCATCTATTTTTATAATGTTTACTAATTTTACAATGTTTATAATGTTTTATAATTTTTATAATGTAGACTTTTGTAAATTAAAACCACCTGTGAGATGAAGGAAGTTTTTGCAAAGCTGTACTGACAACCAACCAATTTTTCCAGATATAGTTAGATTAAACCCCCAACTAAAAATAAACCTCGTTACAAGAGCAACAGTAATAATGAAAACAAAACAAAACTTGCTATTAAAGATTCTAAAGCCCTATTACTTATATAACACAATTTTACTGCAGGACCCGCTGTTTTTGTAAATAAAGTTTTATTGGAATACAAACAGGGCCATTTGTTTATTATTGTCTAAGGCTGCTTTCATGGGACAAGGCCAGAGTCAAATAGTTATAACAGGAACCATATGGCCTATGGTGTGTAGTCCTTAAAATACCTATCTGGCACTTTCCAGACAGTGTTTGAAGGGGATTGATGAGAAGCATTGAATGCCATAAACCGAGGCGGGAGTGGGAAGGAGTCTAACTACAGGTGTCTTCCCAGTGACCTGGTGTCCAGGCACGTGCAAGACACTCAGTGAGCGCTTAAGTTATTTGTCCAGTGAATCCTGAGAATTTGCTTTGCTTATTGGGCAGAAATAATGTGTGCCTTTATTTTTTATTTTCTATGATTTTTAGAGAGAGAGAGGGGGAAACATCAATGTGAAAGTGAAACATTAATCAGCTGCCTCTTGAAGGCTGTAACCCAGGCATGTGCTCCAACTGGGGAAATGAACGGGCAACCTCTCCATGCAAGGGACAACACCCAACCAACTGAGCCGTGCTGGGTAAGTCATCCATCTATTTAAATGAGAATGGACTCATTTAAAAGCAGCTTAACCATGTTCAAAGTTGTCAAAAGTAGCAAGGGACCTTTGCACCCAGATTTGCCCAGAACTGGAAATAGCCTGGCTGTATTTTGTTTTTAATAGGAATTAATAATCAAAACAAATTAAAATTATGCTTTTAACAGTTGAACTGCTCTTATTATTAAACTAGAGGCCTGGTGCATGAATTCGTGCACCAGTGGGGTCCCTTGGCCTGGCCTGCGGGATCGGGCCAAAACCAGCTCTCCGACATCCCCCCAGAGGTCCCAGATTGCAAGAGGGCGCAGGCCAGGCCAAGGGACCCCACCAGTACACAATCAGGGCCGGGGAGGGATGCAGGATGTTGGCCAGCAGGGGAAGGACCACAGGAGGGCTCCAGGGCATGTCTGGCCCATCTCATTCAGTCCTGATCATCCAGACCCCAGCAGTAAGCTAACCTACTGGCTGGAGTGTCTGCCCCCTGGTGGTCAGTGCACTTCATAGCAACTGGTTGACTGTCTGCCCCCTGGTGGTCAGTGCACGTCATAGCAAGTGGTTGAGCAGCCTTAGCATATCATTAGGATATTATGCTTTGATTGGTTGAACGGATGACCGGACACTTAGCATATTAGGCTTTTATTATATAGGGTGGATCGTTGACCTTTTCACTTTGTGACACTAGCTGGAAGTCTTTGTGATTAATCAGTTGAGAAAACAGATGATTAGACCCATTTTCATTTCAGCCACCATTTCTCCTGTGCCCTGGATGTAGCAAGGGGATGAGTACAAGCTCAGGGAGCCTCAGTGAACTCCTTCAACTCATTTTACTTGTCACATAACTGCTTTCCCCTCTGTAGCCACAGCTTTGTGATTAGCAAGATTTGCAATCCACAGACCATAAGACCAAAGGATTTGGCCTAGCCCAAATTTCCCTGCCTGATTGTTAGAGACAGATGTGAAGTCACCATCCCACAGGAAAGGCATCCACAGGGCTCTGTTTGCAGGCTCCAGGTCACTGGCCTCTTTAAAGGGGCTTTAGGGGAAGGAAGTAGCAACAAACAGGTCTGGGTGAATAACACACTCCGGTTGTGTTTGGCTCTCTTGAATCAGCTCTGGTCAGGAGGTATTTTTCTTCATGTTGCTTTTAGTTCTTAGAAATGAAAGTAAACATAGAGTACAAATCCTTGGGTGTAAGAGCCACTCCCACTACCTCTCTTCTGTGGATAAATGAGCAGCAGAATAAGGATTATATGAGGGGAGAAAAGAGGATTCTGGTGGAAATGAGACCAGAGTTCCCTTTGCATCTGCCACAGTATTTCTGAACCCTCTAAGTATGTACAGGGAGTGCATGCAGTTTATACTTGCATGCTCTGAGGATTAATTTCACAATAATATCTTCATTTTTTAAAAATTCTTTTTTCTTTTCACTGTTTTGATTGGACATTTTCTCTTTTTTATTTTTTTTTAAATATATTTTATTGATTTTTTACAGAGAAGAAGGGAGAGGGATAGAGAGTTAGAAACATCGATGAGAGAGATCAGATCGATCAGCTGCCTCCTGCATGCCCCCCGCTGGGGATGTGCCCACAACCAGGGTACATGCCCTTGACCGGAATCGAACCTGGGACCCTTGAGTCCGCAGGCTGACGCCCTATCCACGGAGCCAAACCGGTTCGGCTTCTCTTTTTTTAATATATATTTATTGATGTTAGAGAGAAAGGGAGAGGAATAGAGAGATAGAAACATCAATGATGAGAATCCTTGATTGGCTGCCTCCTGCACACCACCTACTGGGGATTGAGCTTGCAACCCAGGCATGTGCCCTTGATTGGAATCAAACCCGGGACCCTTCAGTCCACAGGCCAAGGCTGTATCCACTGAGCCAAACCAGTTAGGGCTCGACTGGACATTTTCTGCTACCTTATCTTTTAAATCACTGATTCAATCCTCTGGTTTATCTAACTTATTGTTGATTCCCTCTAATGCAGTGGTTCTCAACCTTCCTAATGCCACGACCCTTTAATACAGTTCCTCATGTTGTGGTGACCCCCAATTTCATTGTTACAAATTGAACATAATTAAAGCATAGTGATTAATCACAAAAACAATATGTAATTATATATGTGTTTTTGGATGGTCTTAGGCGACCTCTGTGAAAGGGTCTTTTGACCCTCAAAGGGGTCGCCACCCACAGGTTGAGAACCGCTGCTCTAATGTATTCATTTTCATTATTGTATTCTTCATTTCTGACTTGTTCTCTATCTTTATTTTTATGTTTCTTATCCCTTTATTCAAGTTCTCACTGAGATCATTGAGCATCCTTATAAGCAGTGTTTTGAACTCTGCATCTGGTAGATTGCTTGTCTCCATATTTTAGTTCTTTTTCTGGAGTTTTGTTCTCTCCTTTTTTGGGGGACATGATTCTTTGTCTCTTCATTTTGGCTGCCTCCCTGTGTTTATTTCTATGTATTAGGTAGAACTGCTAGTCTCCCAGTCTTGATAGAGTGCCCTTATGTAATTGGTTTTTTATGTTTCCTGTGGGGCCCAGTGGTGCCGTCTCCCTAATCACCTGAGCCAGGTGCTCCAGGTATGACCCTTGTGTGGGATATATGTGCCCTCCTGTCATAGTTGAGGGATTGCTGTTGGCATGTCAATGGGAGGGATTGACCCTCAGGATGATTGGTTGTGAGAACTGGCTACAGTGGAGGAGCTGTTGTGCAGGGACTGGCTACAGAGCAGGATTTGCCGTAGTGGAGCTCTATCAAGTCTGCCTTTTGAACGTATTGTTTGCGGAGGTGGTTGAGTGGTACTAGTGTGGTCTGAAGCTGGCCATCGGGTATATCAGGTATATTGGTTCAGGGGAGGTACAGGCCAAGGTCAGAAACTGCCTGTGCCCTGCTCAGGGTTCCTTGGTGTGAGCTACAAAGTGATCTGTAGAGGATCGCCACTTGTGCTGGGCTTGCAGATGTCGGGAGAGAACCGAGACTGGCCACCTCTAGTGCCAGGCTTGGGCTGCTTAGCGAGAGGTACAGGGCACCTCACCAAGGCCAGATGCTGCTAGTTTGGGGTTTGTGAACCTCTGAGTGATTTTAGGAAAGTTCGCAGTATGAACCAAGACAGGCTGTTTGTATGGAAAAGCCACTGGAATTGGCTTGAGTGGGCCCCAAAGTTAGGCGGCCTTGGTGAACAGTGTTAGCCAGGTTGATGGAGACTCCGATATGGTACCTGCCTGCCGGCTCTGTGCAGGGGAGGGCTACGCAAAGGAACCACGGCCTCTGCCAGCACTTCTGTCTGGGAGAAAGCTGCCGGTCTAGCTGTCCCTGATGCCAGACTCCTCATTTCTTCCTGTAGGGCCTTTTGTGCTGCTGTCCGTGTTGAGCTCAGAGCCAGTGAGTCCCAGTGTGGGCTTTTAAGAATGCCTGGGACTCCAGCATCCCTCTGTCCCACTCAGCCACAATTCCCACTGGCTTTCACAGCCAGGAGTTATGGCAGTGGTTCTCAACCTTCTGGCCCTTTAAATACCGTTCCTCATGTTGTGACCCAACCATAAAATTATTTTCGTTGCTACTTCATAACTGTAATGTTGCTACTGTTATGAATCGTAATGTAAATATCTGATATGCGGGATGGTCTTAGGCGACCCCTGTGAAAGGGTCGTTCGATTGCCAAAGGGGTCGCGACCCAAAGGTTGAGAACCGCTGAGTTATGGGTACTTCTCTTCCCAGCACTGGAACCTGGGCTGGGGGTGGGGGGTGGGGGTGGTATGGGGTTGGGAACCGTTGCTCCTCAGCGGGGACCTATGCAGCTGCGCTATCCTCCCAGTTTTTAATGGCCACATGTGGGTGTGGGACCAGCCCGTCATCGTCTCTGCCCCTCCTACCAGCCTGGAAGTGGCTCATGTATATCCTTAGCTATACATAATCTGTTCATCTAGATTTCAGATGGCTTTCAATGTTGGTTGTTCTGCACTTTAGTTGTCATTTTGATGTCGCTGTGGGGTGGGAGGAGGTGAGTATAGTGTTTTCCTACTCTGCCATCTTGACCAGAAACCCAGACTGTTTAAAATAACGATTTCAAGTGATTTAGTGTTCATAAAAATTTTAATAAAATACCAATTTCATCTCCTTATGTACCTCTTTGCAAATGTAAGACAAAGCAGAGTGTTATAATCTTTTAATAACTTGTGAACAACTGTGGTATTGGTGTATTTCAAAGGTGGAATTCTTTTAAATTATAAAGGATTTTGAGTGCTTGAAATCCTATGAAAAGAAAGAAAAACCAAGTTTAAATATACAATATTAATTTATATTTAAATAAATACATATATCTTATGAGTATCAGAATCTTACAGGTTCAAACGAGCACATAATGAATTAAATCTATTTTATGGGGAATTAAATAATTAAATACTAGGAGACACTGTCTTTGAAACTGTTCCTAAACAGTAAGGCAATAGGAGTGGGAATTGGAGCAGGGTAACTCTTATTTACGAGGGGGGTGCTACAGCATCTAGTGGGTAAAGATCAGGGGTGCTGCTAAGCATTATCCAATGCACAGGGCAGCCCTCCCCCTCCCCAAAAAACAGAATTATGTGAAATTATAAGAATTCATTATATATGAATTATAACACCCGGCCGGTGTGGCTCAGTGGTTGAGCATCAACCTCTGAACCAGGAGGTCACAGTTCAATTCCCGGTCAGGGTACATGCCTGGGTGGCAGGCTCGATCCCCAGTGTGGGATGTGCAGGAGGCAGCCAATCAATGATTCTCTCTCATCACTGATGTTTCCATTTCTCTCCCCCTCTCCCTTCCTCTCTGAAATCAATAAAAATAAATTGAAAAGTAAATAAATAAATAATTTAACAATAAAAAAATCTTTGGATGGAAAAAACTCTATAGAGCAGTTTGTGGGTGTTCAACATTAGTGTCCAGCAGGATCACCCAATGTTTAAAATACTGATACCCATGGCCCACCCCAAGCTCCAGTGAGAGGAAATTTAAGAGAATCCCTACCATAGAGGACTAAGGAGTTCAGAGAACCAGTGCTCTATTTCTCTAGAAAGGGCTTAGGCTTCTAAAAGCATTGGAAACCTAACCCCCAACCCCCATACACACTGTGTTATTGAAAAATAACATAGAGAGTTGAATATACATCCAAAGAGCTATGAAATCTGAGCAATGGATTTACGGCTTTACTGTCGGGTTTACAAACGCAGAAGTACACCAGGGTCCACATGTCTAAATTATGTTCCCTTAGCCATCTCAGTTAGATGATAATTGCATCTTTTCAAGGATTTCCGAGATTCTCCTTTCAGCAATAGCAGAGGATATTCTACATCCTTAAAATTTCTCAGTGCTTTCACTAACCCAAGGAGTGTCCTGGGACCACAGCTGTGCGGAAGTGAGCTGCTTGGTCAAGCTGACACAATCGAGGTGCCTGGTTCCCAGCTCAGCCAACTGTAATCCTCTGAGAACTTGTGTCTTAATCTCTTCATCTATAAAATGAAGTGGATAATACCAGCCCTAAGGCTGACTAATAATAGAAAACACCACAAGAAAAAATAATGGTGTGGTAAAGGCTTCTCGCTCTACAAATGCCAAGCAACTGCATCATACCACTGCAGACAGGGATGGAAGCTAACATTCATTCAGCTCCTTCGAAAGGCCATGGTAGACACTAGTACAAAGTATATTAAAAGTGAAAAGCCACCGGTCGGCGTGGGTCGAGCATTGATTGACCTATGAACCAGGAGGTCATGGTTCAATTCGCCGTCAGGGCACCTGCCTGGGTTGCGAGCTCGATCCCCAAAGTGGGGTCGAGGTTGGGGGTGGAGGGTTTGTAGGAGGCAGCTGATCAATGATTCTCTCATCATTGATGTTTCTCTCTCTGTGTCCCTCTCCCTTCCTCTCTGAAATCAATAAAAATATATTAAATACATAAATAAAAGTGCGAACCCATTACTTCTATATAATTACTTCCTTCCCTTGCCTTATTCCCTAAACACATCCATTCTATAAATACGCTTTAACAATACTCACATTTTGACCCATTGGAGTGGCTTTAGATGCAGAGTTACTCTTCCTGTTTGTGGAATATAAAAGACATTTAGTACAATGATCACTTCCAAGTCTGAAACACATTCAGTCAATGTTACCTCCATACATTTTCTCAACAGGAAGATGAAAATTTGTAGCCAGGTACAAGAAAAAGCCAGAAATCCCAACTGAAGTCCTTTATTTATAGGCAGCATCCACAGAGAAAGCCATGCAACACAATATTAGTGTGTGTGTGTGTGTGTGTGTGAGAAGCCCTGTGTATCTGGTTGTAGCGTAGGGCTAGTATACTAAGGATTTTTGTGGAATATGCAAAACAGAGACTTGCAGACATTTAACATTTTGAAGGCTTGAGATTATAATCTCAAATTTCATTTTTCCCAAGGAAAGAAAGTTTTATGTGGTGACTATGGTTATGGGGTGATGTGTGTCCCCCCGTTTTGTTCACTGCTGTGTCACCACAAGTCCCTAGGATAGTGTTGGGCAAAGAATCAGTATTTAATTAAATATAAACATGATTGTTGAATAAATTTTATATTTTACTTGGAAAATTTCTATTTAGCAAATGACTGCAAATATATTTTTATAGTAGTACTATGGAAATGCCTATGCAGTCAAATTAACAAATGTGTTTCGTCTCTAGGTAGTCAAACATCATTGACAAGTAGGCATGAGGTGGGATATATTTCTTGATGAACTTGAGTCACAGTCACTTCCCATAGGATTAAAAACCTTCACAGATTAACTCAACTTTCCACATTTGGCTTTGAACAGATGACTAACAGAAAATTAGTTGGTTTGGAAGAAAAGCATGCATTTTAAGAAAGTATACTTACTGGAAGGTTCCCTCTACAAAAGAATAAGTATATATCATTAGTACAAGAGTTAAAATGGCACGATACAGATTCATATAAACATTAAGTTTAAGCTTCATTTCTTTTTCTCAATCTTGATTCTCACTTGCTGACATTTGTACCTTCTAAATCAAGAGTTGGCAGACTTTTTCTGTGAAGGGCTACATGCAAATATTTTCGACTTTGTGGGCCAAGAGGTGAAACTGAGAATATCACATAGGTAATTATATAGCAAGAAAAAACAAACTTCCAAAAACTTTTATTGGTTAAAATTTTAAATATTATAATAAATTCTTGTGTTAACAGAATAATGGAATTCTCCTTTGGGGGAGATAACATTCTTCTTAATTAAGGTTCAAAGTTAATGTTCCCTATTTTCAAATAGATTGCCAGTGTTCATCTGTAAAAACCATTCTTAGCTCATGGGCCATAAAAAAACAAGTGGCAGGCCAGAGTTGGTCCACAGGTTGTAGTTTGCCCAACCCTGTCTGAAGTGCAAGTTCAAGAAAATGGTTCTTTTAGATTTTCTGCCAGACGAAAACGGAGTAACATTCTTAGTTAATGAACTACCAACACCCAAATCAATTCTTTAATTCATTATTTTAAGAAAAAATGTTTACCAAATCTTCAAAAAAATACTTATATATTCTTTGCAAGTAGAGATAAAGATGACAAGAATTTTGAGCAATCTTTTGTCTGTTCTTTCACTGGTGACCAGCAGGGGGACCCAGCCGATTCCATTCATAAAGTTACACAGGACTAGTTTGTAGTACCATGCAAAAGAACAAGTATTATTCATTCACAGAACAGTTCTTAACTATAAAGAATATCCTTGAGACCATGTTCATGGAAACATTTTATGACAATATCTACTTATAGGTATTATTAGAAACCCCTTTTAAATTTAAGTTTTATTTTTGTATAGAATATATTTTTTTAAACCTAAACTCCAAAATTAATGTTTACTATGAGACAGTGGATCTAAAACTAGTTTATGCTGTAAATTTATGTATTATTCCATTAAAAATTCTACTTCATACACTATTCCCAATGGACTTGATGGGGGAGTTCTACAGCTTTTGAGCTCTCAGGTAATTTTAAAGACGAAGGAAAAAGGAAATGCAATAAGAGAATAAAACAGATTCAAAATCTCACACATTTACATCAAACCTATCACCAAATTGGGGTTTAGCATCACCAGAGGTCTAAACATGAAGAACTAAAAACCTTGTTCAGAAGCAACTGCAGTATAACAGGTTGCTAGTTTTTACTGAATAATTCTCTTCTATATACAGTTGTGCTAACTTTGACATTCCACATTCCACTGTTATCCATTGATAAAACAGTTGACAGATTTCAATGAAATATCTCATCATAAAGCCAGAAATCAATTTACCACTTGAGATATACAATTCCTAACTGAAAAGGATCTTCAATGCATGTAAATGCGTGGTGAACACCCAGCCACGTTGACTATCTCTTGGTATCGCTTCACTAGGCCACGCCAGGGAGCCTCCTGCGTATCCAGTGGTGCCTCCCGGAACGTTGGGCTGAGACAGCTCTGCCTTTGCTCCCTATGTTTGCCAAGGTGCTTCATGACCCACCTGCAGGTCATCTTGGATATCCTCTACTACAGAAAAAGCAACGAAAAATAGTCTCCAGAAAAATGTTCTCGCTTCTTAAGAGAAACGGTGTCGCATAAGAAAACTCTCTACCCACGGGAATCTGTCTAGTCAAGGGTGAAATCACTTACTTGAAAAGTAGCCTTTCCTCTGGGCATAGCACACACCAAGGCCACAAATGGAAACCACTAAGGCCACTACCACCACGGCCGCTATGATGCCACTCACGTTGAGATCATCTGGAATGCAACATGAACCAGGAGTGAATTCATGTCCAATAGGAGGACAGAGGCAGTCCTTCAACTGAAAAAGTTCCAACAGCTTCTGTTTGCAGCTGTACCACAGACATGGGTAGTTTCATGCTTTTGAAGTCTGAGCAAATAACTCACTTTCAGGACATGGTTCAAAAGATAATTTGCTGATTACCTATACTTCCTATACTTCAGAAAGAACTTCTTTAAAACAGTTCACAGGTTCTGCTTTTGGTTATGTTATTAATGATAATTCAAAAAGAAAACTGAACATGAGATTTCAGGAATTCTTGTGTATTTCAATTTATATAAATTCCAAACCAAGGGCATGAAATACCTAGGAACAATGGATGAGCATTAAACAAACTAATTTTAACTTTTAAAATAACTATACCAGAAAGAGTAGATATGTGGAAACCATGTGTAACTTAAAGCGGAACTATAACAAAACACAAACTATTAAATTTGATCTGTTATGTATTTTATCTGTTCTGTATCTGCTAGAAAAATGTAACTAGAATGTAAAAACCATAATACCACAGATATTACTTCTTAAGAGGTGGGTAAATTAGGCATTAAAATTAAACATGCCGAAACCGGTTTGGCTCAGTGGATAGAGCGTCGGCCTGCGGACTGAAAGGTCCCAGGTTCGATTCCAGTCAAGGGCATGTACCTGGGTTGCGGGCACATCCCCAGCAGGAGATGTGCAGGAGGCAGCTGGTCGATGTTTCTCTCTCATCGATGTTTCTAACTCTCTATCTCTCTCTCCCTTCCTCTCTGTAAAAAATCAATAAAATATATTTTAAAAAAATTAAACATGACCATTTAAAGAAAAAATAAATAGTAATAATGTAAGTGGTACAGGTTACGGTAAAAACCATGAGGACAATATATGAATGAATGAAGTTAAGAAAACACTGGATCGTGTTAATTTTTTTTCTCTAAAATATATTTTATTGATATTTTACAGAGAGGAAGGGAGAGGGATAGAGAGTTAGAAACATCGATGAGAGAGAAACATCAATCAGCTGCCTCCTGCACACCCCCGACTGGGGATGTGCCCGCAACTAAGGCACATGCCCTTGACCGGAATCGAACCTGGGACCCTTCAGTCTGCAGGCCGATGCTCTATCCACTAAGCCAAACCGGTTAGGGCGGATCGTGTTAATTTTTATAACAGATTCTGATGAATTTTCCTAATGATAACTCCAAAGCAGCATTGAGAGAGATAGTTTCTAATAATTAATCAAATGCTCCTGTTTGCCTATCAATATCAACACCTGAATGAATTTGGTGGGTAACATGTATCCCTGAATTTAAAAAACAAAACAAAATAAAAACACTGGGAATTCAAACTTGCTTGTGGAAATTAAAATATGCTATTGAATATCTTATACTTTAGGATATCCTGAAATCTAACAAGATTATATTTTCTTAAAAAAATAGTGCTGAATTTAACTGTACTTAGACAATACACATTACTGCACACATATCTGCATACTCCTAAGCACATTGAAAAAATGAATTTCTGACCCCAAAATGCTGAGGACAAGCTCCTGAACCAAGGGGAACCTCAGTTTTCTGCTTCCGGGTGCAGCCCTCTGGAGCGACCTTTAACCCCTTGGGGTACCATCTCAGCTCAGCCCCCTCTATTACACTCCATGTTCAAAACACAGTTTTCACACAGGAAGAATGAAACCAAGTTATTAAAAAAAAATGAAAAAATAATATGCTTGTTCTGAAACTCTTACAATCTGAAAAGATTCTTGAGCCCTAATTTTATTGGATTTTAAGAAGCTCATTTTGTGTAACATAATATACTGCAGCTACTTTTTATAGCAACCTAGATCCGTAATTATATTCAACATCTTTTTTGAGAACCTACTTTACAGTAAGTCTAACATAGTATTTCCCAAGATCAACAAAATTAACAACAATAACCTGGTAACAAGTAAAGCAGACAACACGTATATAGTGTTCACGCTATGCCAGCGCTACTCTAACACTTTCAAATATTTTTTCCATCTTCATAACAACCCTGTGAGGATGGCATATTATTACTTCCATTTTGGGGAGACTGAGGCACAGAGGTCAAATGATTCATCGCAGAGTATGTAGCTAGTACATGGAAGAGCCAGAATTGGATGCAAGGAGCAAAGATGCTGTTTTTAATCCATCTCCCAAACAAGCCAAGAGTATTTAGCATTGTATATGGATTTTTAAAAAAGCATCTTTGCTCCTTACATCAAGCGGGTTTTAAACATTCCCCCCAGTTTATCCTCCCAACCACTCAGCCCTTTC